TCTTCGGCTTGCCGCGCCCTCGGCCTCTGCCGACGCGGCCACCTTCCCGGGCGGCTGCGAATCTGTCTCCTTCACTGGCAGACGCAGCCTCGCTGGATTGGTCTAACGGCGCTGCCGCTGCGACCACGGCCACTCTTGGCCGATGCTGGTCCCTGCTCGGGCCTGACGCAGATGAACGGAGGTTCTTGGCCTCCTTGTTCGTAACGATGATCTGCGCMGCCTTGTCGAATAGTTCCGCCGTCGTCGTCAAGGTGTCCTCGACATGCGTYAGGGCATTGCTCAATGCCGGACATGACCTTGAGATGAAATAGTGGCGGATGGCCTTGGAGCCCATCTGGATGTCTGGGACTGACGTCAAGCGTTGGTACTCGGCGATCCAGTCCGTACTCGGCAGCGAGCCTTGCTCGAAGACCATAAGCTTGTCCATGGCTTTGATCTCTGGCGGCTCCACCTGGAACCGCTTGTGCCACTCCGCCTTCAGATCATCCCAGCTGATCATGGTGTGCAAGTCCGCTGCTACCACTCCGTACTTGGACAACAAGTTGTCCAACCACGCCTGACATGCGCCCCCTGAGCGAGAATACAAGTAAGCGTGGTGCTTGTTCTCCTTGACGTTGTGGAGCTGCAGCGTGAGCTCAAACTTGCGAAACCATGGAATCGGATCTGTCTTGATTGAGTCGTGGAAGATCTCCTGCCCATTGAACTTAGGAGCTGTCTCGCGCGGCTCTGGACTCGAGGTGGTGGCGGTAGTGCAGATCCGCTGCTGTAATTGTTGCGTTGCGGTCTGCTCAAACTTGCGAAAAATAATATGTGCAGGAGGTATTTCCCGTACCGTTTTCAGAAAAACGAATTTCAGAAAAGAAGATATTCCGAAGTTCTAAGTACGGGAAAATGCAACAGAAAATCGAAATTTTCAAAAAGAAATATATTCCGGATTTTTTTAACAACGAAATTTCGAATTTTCAGAAAAAAAACGAAAATAGGAATTTCAGATGTTGCGATATAGCGATTTTGCACAGCAGAATAGCGAGAAAAGAAAATCCGAGAAAAGAAAAATTTCGATTTTCTTTTGTAGTAAAGTCAAGATCGTGATTTTGGGGTCTAACTAGTATGTATGTCCTAATCAACAGAAAAGACTAACTAGCTTTTTGATCCCCGCACACGTGTCAGATCAGATAGTCCTGATTCACGTGCAAAAGCTCCGATACCAACTGTTACATGCACAGATATGCAATGTACGTAATAAACCGAGAATCTGCAATGTGATGAAAAGGACTGAATAGACAATGCGGTACGAGTAGAATCTCGACAAGCAATGTTCATTCTCATTCATACATAAAGATGCTGAAGAGCGCAGGGAAGACTT